TGTGTGTGTGTATGTGAGTGTGTATGTATTGCATGGACAGAACTAAAAACTAAACCAAGAGCCGTTCGCAGCTATGCTAAAGCATAAATATATGTTTGCCGCACGACAATTGTCTGAGCCGAGCGACACATTCAAGGCGTGCTTGGAGTGGGTGTGCGAGGTTGCTTAGTGGGCGTGGCAGACACGCAACTATTTGTAAGACAGAGCGCATGTATGTGTGTGTGTGTGTGTGTGTAGTACTGAAAAGGTGCCAGACATAGCTCGAGCTGCGTCTAAATGTTGAGGCCAGGCAATGTTTCATATGCAGCGCCCACACCTAACCACATCTAACCCTCCCTCTCTCTCTCTCTCTCATGTGTGTGTGCGTAATAGAAAAAGAACTTTTTACAGTTGCATCGATTTAATCGTGCGGAAAGCTAAATACACGGACAACCGGCGACGGCGTCTGGAAGCGGCCTAAAAATTGGGATACGCTTGGCTTCAAAGCAACTTTTTCGACTCATTTAAAGCCAGTCAGCGACTTAGTCTACCTCTCTACCTCTCTCTTACTCTCTCAATGGGTCTCCTTCTCTCTGCTTCACATGCAATTTATGTATAATGAATATGGTGGGTGGCTTGTGGCGCTGCACTTTGCGCTTGAAAGGCTGCATTGTGAAAATGTCGGCGATACATTTTTCTTAGCCGCAAGATAGAAAAACTTTTTTCTTTCTTATTGCGTAAGCCGTCTTGTAGGCGGCCGAATGGGCGACCAATAGGGCGTTACAGGCAGCACCCACTATAGGAGACCCCAGCCTCAGCACCTTCGGCATTTTCTAATGCCGAGCTGCACTTGCTAACTTGTTATTTTGGCTCGGCTGCTGCCAAAAGTTATGACTGCATTTAGCAGCGGCAGCAAAGCCAATGGCAAAAGTTTTTCTTTCTGCCATTGCATTGATTTGCCAACGGAGGATAGTGGAAATAAATACGTATACGTAATTCCATATACATTTAGGCCAAGCATTATAGTGAGCAATTCAAGCATTGCCTTCCCACCCCTCTCTCTCCATTTCGTTTCGTTTCCCCCTTTTTGAAACAGCCTGTCAAGCTGCTCCATTTTAATCGAACTGTTTACCCAAAAGTGCAGCTAAAGCAAATGAAAAGTTTCACAAATGCCGTGTCAGTACGAGTCTAAGTTTCTCTCCATCTCACTCCCCCTCAATCTCTTCTCTTTCCCTTTGTATCTCTGCCTCACTTACTGAGATTGTAAATTGAATTTTGATAATGTCAATTGGATACAATAAAGTTTTTGCTTGCGGTTGCAATCAGTGTTGCCAGGTTTTGAGACACAAAAATAGCAAAATCGTCTCTAAAAAATAGCTGAAAATAGCTAAACAAATTTTAAAATAGCTTACAAAGTAGCTGAAACCTTTATGCATTATGCATTTACTTAAAATTTTATTTTTAAATGTTATTTAATAATGTTACAATTTGGTCCACATCCAAATCATCATCAGAATTATATTTTTGNTACAATACGCCCGCCTGTTGTCCGACTCATCCTCCTTAATCCAATTCTTAAATTCGGTGATTGTTTTCCAGGAATCACGAAATTTCTGCTTATATTTTTTATCCATCACATACAATTAATGCCAAGAAGCGCGCCAAGAAGAATTAGCGATGGTGTAAATTCACAACTGATGTTATAAGTACGATAAAGTCGTGGTGGTAGTATCGCGCAGATCATTACGTACAATTTGGGACTTAATCGAAAAATGTTTTTTTTTTTTTGCTTTAAATACTAAAATCAAATTCAAAATATTCGTTTGTAAAATAGCTAAATTTATAGCTAATAGCATTTTCAAAATTTTCATAGCATTTAGGGTTCAAAAATAGCTAAAAATGCTATTAAATAGCTAATCTGGCAACACTGGTTGCAATGGCCCAAATGGACAAGCAGAACGAAGCGCTGTTGTGTAACAGCTTTATGTTAAGTGAGCTTTAGGCTTTAACAGCAGCTTAGTAGAGCAATGTTAGAGCGAATCTAAGCTGCTATGGCTGTCTCGTTTTCTCTTTGAGATTCCCAGAGTTGAGTTGAAAGAATGTTAGTTAACAGTGGCTAGTCCTAACAGCAGCTTATAGCAAATTTTTGATCAATTATTCCTTTGCCTTTCTATGGATTCGATCTACATATTTATAATTCTTCTTTCGATGGAGTTCTCTCACGCTCTTTCTCTCGATCCCTTTATGAGATACATATCTTCCTATTTCTCCATCTCTCTCTCTTTCTCTCTCTTTCTCTCGCTCTCTCTCCATCTATCCATTCTATAACCCTACTTCCTCTACCCTCTCTCACAGCAGCTCTTTCACATAACAATTGTCTGTTAATAGAGTTCGTATTTAACAGCAGCTTAAATCAAACGTCATTTAAAGCACTTTACAACACTGCCGTAGCTGCAGTGCCACCTCTGTTAGTTCTTAATTGCCCATAAAACATTTGTAAACAACGGGCAAACAACATATTTAAGTCACAGCTAATTTATGCACATGACTAACAAGGCAATTCGTAAAATACAAAAACAAAAAACATGCTAAAAGCTAAACTAAAATGTGGCACGAAATATGAAATTTTTCGACACCAAAAGGGAGCAAACAAAAAACAAAAAATAAAGCAAAGCAAAGCCCACAGGCATTTTGTGCATAAAAACATGTCAATATTTGTACATAAACAATTTATGTATATTTATTCCAAACACTGATTCGTGTGAAAAAAAATTACATGCATAACAAAATATGCAAATAATGTTAAGTGGCGCCGGGCGTTGACAACTGTTGCTCAGCTGTTATCGATAGGTAAGCAAATCCTCTGTGAAGCCGCAGAAATAATTGAGGAAAATGCATAAAATTTGAGCTAGCTTACTTACTCTACTCCTAAATGATATAAATAATCAGGGATTATCAATCTATGCTCGCTCAAATATTCTGGTTTGCAAATGTTTGTTCATATAGCATAAGTTTAAAGCAGTCAGCACTAGCGTTAATTGTTATCGATAACTAAGCAACATCTCTATACAAACGGGGGCTCTTTTATGAAACCCATTAGAGCTAAACATGAGAGGACTGATTCAGAAGCCAATTTCTGTTTTCCAGCATAAGCAAATGCCCTCAATTGTAGCCCCTCGATAATAACTGTTATCGATATCCAAAACAACATCGATGACCGCAGTGTTGTGCAACGGTTCGTGCGGCACTTAAAGCAGGACACGACGCTGATTTTTTGGAATAGAGCCGCTGTAACACTTTGCGCTAATGGCTCTGCCCTCTGGGCACAAATTGCCACAGGTCTCATTATGCACAGAGCGAGAGAGCGAGGGAGTGAGAGACAGATAGTGAGAGAGCGAGAGAGCAAGCATAGCTTATTGACAGTCAGACGGCAGTTATAAACCAAAAATGACGACAACAATATGGAATTGCGCACACAGCGACACAAAATCATTTGAAAGCAATTACGGCATGGCCGTCCGATCCGCCGGACGGTAGCGAGAGAGGCACAGTGGCCGGGATTGCGGGGGGCTGAGTCTAAAAGGGCGACGACGACCGTGTACAATGAATCAATTTACGAAACGTAACAAAGCCACAATTACAAGCGAGCATAGACAAGAACAAAACGACAATTACGAAAAGAGCAGCGAGTGCAATTGCATTTCCAATTGCAGTTGCTCATTGCAGTTTGTTGCAGTTGCATTTGTTGCCGTTGCCGTTGTCTTTTTTTTTCTGCTACTTCTGCTCTTGCTTTTGTTTTTTGGTTTTTTTTTTTTTTTTTGGCCTGGCACACGCGTTAAATGATGCGACGGCCCATGCAGCTGTCGGAGGGGGCCGTGGACTTAGCCAGAGCCGACGACAACATCAACGGAGACAACAACGACAACGACGACGAGAAGAAAACCGCAAACGAGTTGTATTTTCCTTTTTATATTTATTTATATTTTGAATACTCTTTCGAAATGGTAAAAAGAGTATATTCCTCTTTGGAGATAAAGAGTTGATGTTTGGGCATCTCTGATCTTAAACCAACACCAAGTCTTGTTGAGTACACCCAGTGGAGCTAGAATTTATAGAGTACTTAAAGCATATTGTGACGACGATAATGAGTTGCTGTAAATCTTTTATCTAAAATTTGAGCAAAAGCTGTGGAACTTCCCTCATATCGCTAATATCCTCAACAGATTCAAAGCTCCAATCATAACTGAATCAATTTTACCAACCAAAATAATCAGATGAGTCGAAATCATTAATATTTGCACCGCTTCAGCATCCTGATCGAGCATTTTATAGTCGGTTACTCCCAATTCCATTGTTCTCACTTCTTTTTTTATGTTCTAAGTTTTCTTCTTTCTTTTTTTTTTTGGACCCGCGTGTCAGTTGTAATAGATAATTGTCGAAGTCGCATGCCAGTCGTAGCTCATTTTATATACCCTGTAAAGCGAGTGAGCCAAATGTCGATCTATTTGGTATTATATGAAGTGTGAGAATATTTCTAAATTATTCAAGTGAATAGTAATTTAATAATTATAAATCATGGTTTCAAATGAGCTAAATGTTAGTGGTAAAAGAATATTTACTTCTTAAAATAAATCAAATCTTTGCTCGACAAAAATTAACAATTTTGGTAAACCGTTTAGTAAAATATATATTATATAAATTTAAATTTTAAAATAAAAATCTAAAACCGTTTCACTCAA